AATTAATAAATAGTATTAAGTCTTGGCTTGAAGCATTTAGAATGGATGTTGACTATATTATCAGATACTGACATCTGGGTACTACTATAACAGAATAACATAAATTATAATTAACACAATACACCACAAGAAGTGCAAACTGATAGGCCCAAAGTTCCCCAAAAATTTTCTTTAGCCTTTTATGTTTTACAAAAAAAGATAATGTTGGGAATTATTCATTCATCAGTATAAAGAAAATTTATAAAATAATAGTTAAAACCTTTGCTCAGCTTTTCATGTTTTTAGGATATTTTCATTAGAACCAGTCACTCAAATTGCTTTTTCTACAACATAAGTAGAATTTACAAAGTCCTTTCCACCTTTAATGGCATTGTGAGCTTGGAAAGTTTACCTCCATTTAACAAAACATTGTATAAACCATTTTCTTTACCATCAAAGCAGTGTTTTCTTTAAGATCTCTTCAGACACCTATGTTACCTTTGATTCTTTATCCAAAAAATATTACCAGGCCAATATACCAAGAATTCAGTAATATGTTTGTTTGTTTGCAGTTAAGCACAAAGCTACACAATGGGCTATCTGTGCTCTGCCCACCACGAGTATTGAAACCCAGTTTCTAGCGTTGTAAGTCCGTAGACATATCGCTGTGCCATTGAGGGGCTCAGCAATATGAAAAACTAATAAACTTTAACTGAAACAAGCTAAATTAAACACCAAACAAATTTATTATTCTTTTTTTTTCTTTTGTCACAAGACCTAGATGTGAGATGGGATAAAGTTATTTTGTCTAACTAGGTTCTGTACAAATAAATTTTAATTAATGAGTTATTACTTAAAAGTTTTTCCAACTCTTAGGAACGTCTACTGTGAGTTAATAAAGAAGAAAGATACATGTAATTTCAACAAAACATTATATCCATTAATACTGTTACGTCTCTGTTCGTTTGTTAATTTCCCGTAGAAATTCTTCTCGAGAAACTTCAGCGATACAAGTCCTTTCTTAAATAAAACTAGTTTATTCTTTCTCAATACAACTTTGCAATACACTTTATTTCCACAGTTACTTTAACTTCAACATACGCTATAATTCACAACGAACGATTCGCTTACTATACTTCCTACCGCGCTTGACTCAATTGTCTGTCTATATCTTCAATCTCTCTGTCCGCTATTCTATCCCTATTCATTGTCTGGCGCATTTATATACAAGAATAGAGGGCGCCTAGCAAATACAGGATTATTCGTGATGTTCCCCGATCTTTCTATAACTCAATACGTGTCACCACGTCACGTGACTTCCGCTGTCGTAACACTGCCCCTTCCTTAGTATTGTTCGTCCCGAACAATAGCCACTTACATTAAACCAATAGAAAATTAACAATAACTTAATAAAATGGACAGAATTTATAAACACAAAATTAAAATTCAACAAAGTCTCTTAATTTGACGGGACGTACTTTCTTTCGTACTGTCCCCCGTCTCGTTGGCTTCTCCTTCACGTAAAGTTCATCTGCTCCATCATGAAATGTCCTATTATCGGTAATAGTCACATCAGTGGTAGTAACGTAATCAAGGGCTTCACTGTTTCCCTTCTCAAAACCGTA